CCCTTGAACTGTTAAAAGAAGGCATCTAGTCCTCCTGACTACGAGACTAGCATCTGGTTGCTTCTGGTGAAGCATCTAAAATGTCGACCACTATGTAGAGAGTTGCGCATACTAGTCCTACGCTGTCTCACATGCCTAGAGAAGTTAAAGCTGTAGCTTTTAGGCTGAAGTCAAGTCATATGATAGATAGAAAAGGATAACCCGATGGACTAAGCAACCATTGTCATGATGAATGAGGTCTACTCTACCAATAACTGGTAAAATACCAAACTGCATAAAATTTTAGGGAACTACTGAAATAATCAATGAGATCAATCAGACAAGCATCAAATAATATTATTGTCATGCTGCTAATATTAAGTGTTTATTATGTTCTATTTGCAAAATCTTCATTTAAATTTTCTTAGTGATACAATTTGAGTTTGTTGATTTAAGTGCGACAATTTAGTTGAGTAGTTTATAGTATCTATATATCAACTTCAATTCAGACACAATTTTTGGTTAAAGCTTTTAAATTTTATTGCTGATGGGAACTTGGGGATATTCCATTGTCTTGATTAGCCACTGAAACGGAAGAGTGAAACAGCAAATTACAAACAGGGAGTTGGTGCGATAACAGATTCTGGATATGCCGATGTGAGTAGTCCAACGCAGACACCAGTCTCAGGGAAAGTTGGAAAGGCACAGAAAGTGCCTAGGACATCAAAGGCCAGATCTGCTTCTCAAGCTGCTACCTCAAATATAGGTATGGATTCCTATGAAGAAGTTTTTGTCAGCATTAATTTATGTATCTCATATCATCAATATAAGAGAGTGCCACCGATACTCAAAGGTAAGTTTTATAAAGCGGTGGTTAGACCGGCCATGATGTATGGGGCTGAGTGTTGGCCCGTTAAGAACTCACATATCCAGAAGATGAAAGTAGCAGAAATGAGGATGTTGAGGTGGATGTGCGGGCACGCTAGGATAGATAAGATTAGGAATGATGATATTCGAGAGAAGGTGCACATGGCTCCCATTGATGACAAGATGCGGGAAGCGAGGCTTAGATGGTTCAGACATGTTCAACGGAGAAGCCCAGATGCTCCGGTACGGAGGTATGAGCGGCTGGTTGTGGAGGGCACGAGAAGAGGTAGAGGGCGGCCTAAGAAATATTGGGGAGAGGTGATCAGGCAGGATATGGCGAGGCTCCAGATTTCCGAGGACATGACACTTGATAGGAAGATGTGGAGGTCGAGTATTAGGGTTGTAGGTTAGGAAGTAGTTGAGTCTTGCCTTACTTCGTACCATTGTGGGACTAGCCAGGTAGGGTTTTTGTCTAAGATAGCTAGTGGCAATGTTGTGTCTTACTATTTCGCTTTTCAGTGCAAGACCTATTTACTAGCTATCGCTTTTGCTTTGCATCTTTCTTCTGAATTTCATGGTGTTCTTATTTTTCCTATGATTGATGTGGTGATACTAATATTGTCTCCTTTTGTCCTTTTGTCTTTCTGTTTTCTTGAGCCGAGGGTCTTTCGGAAACAACCTCTCTACTCCTTCGGGGTAGGGGTAAGGTCTGCGTACACACTACCCTCCCCAGACCCCATTAGTGGGATTTTACTAGGTTGTTGTTATATCATAAATATAAGATTCACCATTGTAATCTTATTCAATTTGGCAGATAAACAGTTTCATAATTAGTAATATTTTTTTTGTTGCATCACTCCATCTTATCTTTGTTTTTCATTTTCTCTGAGGCACCCACCAATTTTTAGAACACATAAGATTATGAAAGATATAACTTCTTAAATATTTCAAATTACAGGATCCCCTTCAGGAAATAATGCTACTCCAGTTGGTCCTTGCCGCTATGACAGCTCCTTAGGTAAATTATAACTTTTATGACTTATGGTTATCAATTTGTATCTTTTAGTCTTTGTCTTCGCTACGTCCCTAGGTGTGTAAATTTAGGTGAGTTTTATTTCCTATGCTTGTGCATTTATTTATAGAACATCTCTCTAAAAATATTACTTGTTGTACTGGATAAACATATACCAGAGTAAGTAACTCATGACTTACCTCTCTTGATTCTCATTCAGGTCTCTTAACGAAGAAGTTCATTAACCTGATCAAACATGCAGAAGATGGCGTTCTAGATCTAAACAAAGCTGCTGATACATTAGAGGTAACCTTCACTTCGCAGTTGATACTACATAAGCATGTGTGATGAAGTTCTTACCAGCTTACAGATCTTCTCCTTTTAACAGGTGCAGAAAAGGCGTATATATGACATCACAAATGTCCTGGAAGGCATTGGTCTGATTGAAAAGAAACTCAAAAACAGGATCCAGTGGAAGTATGGAAATGCTTATCCAATAAATATACTTTATTGAAGTTGTTTATCATTTGAAGTTCTACATTATTCAAGATCATTCAATAAACAAAAAGTTGTGATTCAGTTCTATTGTTACATAGGGGTTTAGATGTCTCAAGACCAGGGGATGTTGATGATAGTGTTACAAGTTTACAGGTACGAAGAAATATCTCAATGCCTGCCTTCTTTCTTATTTTGTTGATTGTCATTTAGCGCTATCATAATCTACCAAGTAGCCTAAGCCAAAGGATTAATCGTAGGCTTGTGTGCTTCCTTTTCAGGCAGAAGTAGAAAATATGACTATTGAAGAACGTAGATTAGATGAACAGACAAGGTTATCTTCTGATGCCTCTAATACAATATTCAAGGTTTTATTTTGCTTCACCATTATGCTAATACTGTGTTATATTGGCTTGTTTCAGAGAAATGCAAGAAAGGTTGACAGACCTGTGTGAAGATGAAAACAATCAAAGGTACCACATTCTTTGGTTTATTTAGTTCTTTTTGTTACTCTTGGTTATCAGCCGATCTATCTGCTCACTTTTCCCTCTTTATTCTTGCCACTCATCTCCTCCAAAAGATGGCTTCTTGTTACTGAAGATGATATAAAGAGCTTACCTTGTCTTCAGGTAACTTCAGAACAGATGCTTTTTTCCTTTCATTCTTTTGTAATGTAATTTTCATCAAATGACCAGCGCTCACATTTATTGCCCTCATCAGAATGAAACACTGATAGCTATTAAAGCTCCACATGGCACCACTTTAGAAGTTCCGGATCCTGATGAGGTAACTGCTTTCTCTTTAGTACAGAAACTTTTCCTTTCAATATCGTAGCAAGTCTGCCAGTTATTTAACTGGTTACCTCAGCAAAATTTAAGTAGCAGTCTACATATATTATTATGTCTTCCTTATCTCCAATAGGCTGTTGATTATCCACAAAGGAGATACAGAATTGTGCTTCGCAGCACCATGGGACCAATTGACGTTTACCTTGTCAGGTACTTTTTCTGTTTTTTACTGCAACTAATCTATGATATCGAAACGATTAATATGTTGCTAGAAAGAGAGTGGAGTGTTTATTTTTCAAGGGCAATATAACTTAATAGGGGGAGTATAGATGATTTGTCTGTAATTCTTTCTTTATTTTGAAAATTTTATTTAGCCAATTCGAGGAAAAGATCGAAGAGATAAATGCTGTTGAGGCACCATCAGCCTTGCCTTCAACATCAGGTTTCAATGAGAATGAAACTGCAACATTGCCTACTGAGGAGAGTGGAGGAGTTGATGGCAGAATGGACGAAAAAGAAAATCAAAGTGTGTGCGCAGATGTTGGTACTTCGCAGGACTTTGCGAGTGGAATCATGAAGATTGTTTCAGATGTTGATGTAAGTTTTAGTTTACAAGCCTTAAAAAGTTGGTAGTTGAGTGTTTTAGAAGCAAGTAAATTAGAAAACTCAACATATATAGTGCATCACTTTGTCTTTTACGTGATAAGTAGGATTGTTGGAGAAACAATCCAATGCAGTTATTGTAAATGAGCGACTGGATCACTTTGTTTTTTCCGTCACTGACTTTTTATACGGTCCTGCAGAATGAAGAAGATTACTGGCTTTTGTCAGATGCTGATGTTAGCATCACTGACATTTGGAGGGCAGACTGTATCCTACTTGTTCCCTGTTTCATTTGTTTTTTTATTTTTATTTCTTGCTATCAAAGAAAGTTATCCTGTGAATATAGAATCCTTGACTCAAAAATAGCTGTTCTTGACTGGAACGAGTTGAATGCAATTCATGAGGATTATTCAATTGATAATGTCAGTACTCCACGTGCCCAAACTCCCCCATCCGGTACCACTGAACTGCCTTCTGCAAATACTACTAGGAGCTGAGTAGTATTTTCCTGGCATTGCTGTAGATGCTCAGGCGATGCTTGTTCTCGGTATAATAAAAGTTTTACATTTGATTAAAATCCTCTGTATAGATTCTGAATGACCTAAAGGAAACAGCAAGTGCAACAGGGAGCTTTTCCCTAAATGCTTGATCAGGAAGTTGGCATTTGAGGCCCAGGAAATAGGCTTCATTGTACAGTTAATATATACTTGAATTGTACTGGTAATGGCAATAATCAGATGGTTAAACTGCTGTCTAAATTTCACTGTGTATTATCTAATTTTTCTTAGCTAGATGGTTTATTGTCATATATTGATGTTGATCAACTTGGACAAATTTGATTTATTATGCTGCATTTCGGAGCTTCTTGTAACATAAGTTAGTGTCAAGTTGCCATTTTCCAGGTTCTGAAACTGCAATTACTGGAAGCTTTGCTGTTTAGTGTGGAGTAATTTGAGCATGCTATGGTAATGTTCACCTCAGCTTGGTCAGGCTACTTGAGAAAATGAGATGGTACAAGAAAAAAAGTCCAGAAATGTATGCTTTGGGTTAATATTGGGCTAGTGTTTGCGTCTTCAACAGAAATCCTGCCCTATCACATTAAGTCGTCCAAAATCTATGTTTGGATCTCTTTATCAACTTTCATTCCAATCCGACTGGTGACATCTTTATCACATTTCTGCAAATTCCCACCTGCGAACAATATGATTTTTCTTAAGGGAATTCTGAAATTTATGTATCTTCACATTTAAATCGAATGTCATATTTCACTTGTTGTTTTTGATTCTAAGTGATGTTTAAAACATGAATCCCAAATTAACCTTGGTAACTTGAACATGAATTTGGGCATTTTCAGAAAAAGATTCTCTTCTTGAGGAGAGAGGACTAAAATTTCTACATGGACAGAGTGGCAAGTTACACTATTTCTGGCCCTTATTTAATCATACGAATGTAGCGTAACGCACATATACCTAAATTCACGAGGAACAGTTTGTACTATATGTATATATTTACACCTCCTAATTTCTCTCCTTGTATATTGTCAATCTTTGTGCAAGGATATATTTATTGATTGGGCTTCTAGCTAGTCTAGTCTATAATCTTGAGACCTAGCCGTAATTGAATTAGTAGATCAAATATTAAAAGACATATTGAAGTTCATCTAAATAGATACTCATATCAGATTTAGATTCCGAATCAGATTGATATATCTTTCATATCTATAAGTAATACTTATCAGAAAATGATACAGAAACAAATTCTAGTTCAAGCAGACATCTACACACCTCGTATTCCTCATTCTTCTACTCCAATTAAACCACAAAAGGATACCTTTAATTTTATCAAAGCTAGAGACTAACTTCTATAGATTAACGTGTAAAAGAATGGAGTCCTCTTCCTCTTCTTCATACTTTCCCCGCACAAAATCGTTACCAAACCCTAGTTTCAATGGCATCAAACCTGTGCGATATTGCCACAGTTTTCCAAACGCTGGCTCTTCTTCTTCTTCTTCTTCTTCTTCTTCTACTACTCCTTCAGAATACAAGTATGAATCATTGAAAGAGATATTAGGCTCACCATCTTCTCCTAAAGGTCCCTTAATCACATGTAGTTGTGGAACTGATGATATACCCATTCGAAATCGCCTCGTTCAAAAGGCTGCATGGTCCTATTTGCAGCCTGCCATGCCAGCAATCAAAACCCCATCTCAGAAGTGCTTCTTTTTGTTGCTGTGGGAGAGATTGTCCCACGAATTGAAGCGTCCAATCAAGTTTGTCAACCAAATTATTGGACTCTTTGCAGCAGCTGGCGTTAGACGCTACAATTAGGAAAAATGATTACGTTGTTAAACTATGGCTTTTGTTTTGTTGGTTAGATTTTACTAGGTGTTTAGAAACTTTACAAGTAGCTAACTAGGTTTTAGGGTTTAGATCAAGGCCGAGAAACACTAACACTCCAACAGCAAGCAAAGATTGTGGTGTGTTGCTATCAAGGTTACATTACGAGTTTGCTGCTACTTATTGTGTACATAGGTGACTTCTTAATTTTATGATAGTTATCTCTCTTTTGGAGTATCATTTATGATGATTTAGAACACAAATTTTGGCTTTTTTCAAAAAAAAAAAAAGGAAAAAGAAATTAGAGCTCAGAATTTCACAGTTTAGATATGCTTAACCCCAGAACTGAAAATTACCAAGTCGGACTCCTCCTCCCAAACTCACATGCCCTTTACGATGTTATCTTCACATTCTAGGTTTAAAGAGTCAACCACATGTATACACAATACACTTCCTTACCCTCTACGGCAGATTTGTGATCTGATCTTGAAAAATACCTCTATTTCCACCTTGTATATTTTATTATTCTCCCCCCTCCCGCACCCTCCATCCCCGCGAAAAGAAGATCTCCAAAGAAAGGACAATTAAAAAAAGAATCCTTTCCTCTTGGGATCAACTATTATTTTAGTATGTCCTCGTGTTTATAAATTCTAGTTTTAAAAAAAAATATTTTTAGCCTTCAAGTGGCGCCTTCCTTTTATATAATCCTAGCAGCACACAACAGAGGGGACATTTCACCTGACCTCTCTTCGTTAGATCCAAAAGATCATCAGATTTATAAGTGGTCATTCAAAAATAGTTATAATTTCAAAAATAATCAAAATTTAGTCACTTTTCATGTAAAGATAAATCTGAACGAAAATACTGTTTAAAATCCGGAAAATACTCCAGCATAATATACTGGAATTCCAGCATAATATACTGGAACTCCAGCATAATATACTGGAGTTCGAGCATAAGTATACTGGAACTCCAGTAGTATACCGGTCCAGTATATTATGCTGGAAGTTCATACACAGGTGCTCGAATCTCTAGTATATTATGTTGGAACTTTCCGCATGTTGGAGTTCCAGCATAATATGCTGGAAGTTCATACACAGGTGCACCGAACTCCAGTATATTATGCTGGACCGGTCTCTGTTGCAGCAAAATAGTGGCTATTTTTCAATGACTTGGCAAACGCTGGCTATTTTTGAATGACCAATCCGAAAACTGGCTAGCCCATGCTATTTTTACTTATTATAACCGTTAATAGAACAAGTACAAAGATAGAGTAGCTTTCTTACCAATATACAAAAAGCACGTATCAAAAGTGTTAGGAATATATTAGATATGCCCTAGATCCAATCTCACATTTGATGATTTGAACATATTTTTGTGAATGTTATTTGATATAAAATATATATGGCATTTGATATTCATTTATCATAATTATTATTAATTGTTTGATTAATTTAATAAGTTCCTTGATTAAATTTTGAGACAGAATCATGAAAATGAGAGTAAAGTCTCTTACAATTTAACCTAAATTTTGTTCTTGATCGTAGGATTATTAATTTGGACATGAGTAATCCGGTTAGATCAATATTTATTTGATCGTCTTTATGGGATAAAGATTAGTTGATCTCATTAACTAAATAACATAAATAGATGATGCATATAGAGATATGATCATTGAACCGATTAATTGAATAATTCCTAATTGTTAGAATTATCATAAACTATCAATAGAATATTCTCTTAAAGAATGTGATGTAAGAGTTTCCTTTGACCTGATATCATCATAGTAATTGACAAGTTATTTATTGTGCTTTGATACTAGACACATATGGTCCTAGGGCGAAAGTTGAAAGGATATTGGGTACGATTAAATACTTGTAGAATTAGTAATTGATTAAGATGGAATCTGTCAACTCTTGATAATGAGTTTAAGCTCCATGTTGTCATAAATTATAACCGACCAAATTAAGACCTTAGCCAGGGCGATTGAATGAAAGGATAAAAGAGTTTCTTAGGTCATTCAATGGTCGATTATTTTTAACACGAATACATAGTCGGTCGCCTATTAGGATTTGATAGTTGAACCATATCCTAGGGTGGCCCAGAGCTATAAGGACAGAAGGAATTAATACATTATTCTTCTATAGGTTCTTGAGAGTAAATTGTATACTTCATGCTATCAGGTCGTTAAGGAGTGTTGCTAGACGCCACCCTTGATTAGTATATTGATGTGATCAATTTACTACCGGCTTAGTATTGAACCTATGGGGCTGCACACTAACGAGTGTTCTGATCTTTGCTAAAGGATTAATTACTTTATTATTTGATAATTAAATTAAAGAATATAGTTAGTCAAATAAATTTAGTTATTAGTCCAAATAAAATATTATTATATTCTTTGCTAGAGCAAAGGATATAATTAATTTTGTGGACAAGTTAAAGAGTTTTCTATTTTAAATAAGAAAATTAAATTACATCTCTTGGTATATATATATATATATATATATA